TCCGCGGCCTCGCTGCCCGCGCCCGGCGGCCGGTCACGGGCTCCGGTCACGGGCTCCGGTCACGGCCTCCGGTCACAGAGTCCGGTCACAGAGTCCGGTCACGGCGTGCGGGCCCGGCGGCCGCTCCCGCTGCCCGCTGCCGCCGTCCTCGTCAGCGCGGCCCGAGCGCCCGCAGCAGGCGCGGGAAGTTGGGGGTGCCCCAGCCAGTGACCGGGTCCCAGGCCGGGGTGGCGCAGAAGCCCTGGCCCTGCACGGTGCCGTCCAGGCAGGACAGGTGGCAGCCCTGGGTCACCTGCGGGGACCAGCCTCAGTAGGGGGCTCGGGGTCGCCCCCCGAGTCTCGGGACAGCGACCTCCGGAGCACAGGAGCCCCGCACAGCCCGGGACAGGACCCCGGGGCACAGGGACCATCCGGGACAGGGATGGTCCCGCAGTCCCCGGGAACAGGGACAGCCGGCCCTCCATCCCTGACACAGGAATCCCGGGGACACGGGGACCCCCACGGCAGAGGCTGCCCCTGCCCAGGGTCCCCTCAGGACACTGGCAATGTGGAACAGCATGCTCAGCTGGGCCCTGGGACTGCTGCAGTCACTGGACGCTGCTGCCCCGGCCACACAAGGGGACCTGCCCCACAAAGCTCACAGGAGCCCATGGGGACGCCCCAGGACATCCCTCCCATGGGAAGGCTATAGGGACACTCTCCTGGCCCCCAGCAGGACACTGCCGGCCCTGTCTCAGGCACAGCTGTGGGAGCAGGAGCCCCAGGACAGCCCCCTCAGCCCCCAGCCCAGCCCTGGGAGCACACGTGGCCTTCCCAGCCCCACGGACAGCCCCACCCCAGGCCTCAGCCCAACACTTCAGGACACCCAAAGTCCCCTCAGCCCCCGTGCAGCCCCTCCAGCGCCCCTTCCCTGCCCCACTCACATCGTAGAATGCATCCCCGTGCCCTTGCTTCTGCAGCTGGTAGAGCGCAGGGTTGAGGAAGCCCAGGGGTGCCAGCCCCCGCTGCAGGCGCCGGTCGTTGATCAGTGCCACCATGCCTGCCACCACCGGCGTGGACGCCTGCGTGGGCACAGCCGCTGAGCCCCGGGCCCCGCCGCGCCGCGCGGAGCAGGGGCTGAGCTCCTTACCGAGGTCCCCGAGACCCAGGGCAGCGGGATGCGGTTTGTCACCACCCAGTAGTTGTCGGAGAGCGCAGCCAGGTCGGGGTAGGCGCGGCCGCTGCTGTTGTAGTAGGAGCTGGGCGGCAGCTTCGAGGCTGAGCGCAGGAAACGCCTGACAGCAGCGGCCTGGGGACGGCACGGCCCGTGGGCATCCCCAAACCCGGATCCCAAATCCCCCCCAACCCTAACGCTGCAGCCCCGTGTGCAGCCCCCAGCCTGGCAGTGCAGGTGCCCCTCACCTGGTACTCAGGCATGGGGAAGACGTTGCTGAAGCCGCCGCCGCTGATGTAATCTGTCACCTCCTCTGTCACCAGGAAGGGGTTCTTGAAGGACGTGCCACCCACAGTGGTGACGTAGGGGCTGGGGAGACGGGGACACTGCAGGTGGGCACACGGCTGCCTGGGCCTCAGCAGCCAGCGACAGCCCCCTCTGGCAGCACAGCCTGGCCCCACAAAGCCAGCCAGCCCCGGGAGCCGCGCAGGCCGCAGCTCTGGGGGCTGCAGGCGCACTGGTGAGGGCCCACAGGCGCCCCTGCAGGGCTCGGACCCCGCGGGGCCGCGCTGACCCTCGCGCCCACCTGGAGGCCGGGAAGCTGGGCCGGAACGTGTGGTTCCCGCTGTGCTCCCGCCGACAGCCAGCTCCATCGTCACCTGCCGACACAGCAACAGGTGACAGGTGACCACGGCACCCCAGGCACGCCCTCCCAGCCCCGCTCGGCGCGGCAGCCCCGGCCCACCTGAGGCAAACAGGATGGTGAGGCCGCGGGCCGCCGCCTTCATCAGCTCGGTGTTGACGCGCTCCATGTAGGCGGAGGACAGGCTGTCCTCGTCGTCCCCGTAGCTCACCGAGTGCACCCAGGGCACCGCTGACATGTTGCTGAGCAGCAGCAGCCAGGCCAAGAAGGGCTCCTGGCTCTCGTGCCGCCCTGCAAGGACATCGGGGAAGGGGCACGAGGGATAGTTCCTCCAGCATCAGGGATGGGGACAGTGTGAGGAGCCCTGCCCCATCAGCACCAGCAGCCCCACGTGCTCCTTCCTGCAGGCCATGGAGTCACAACACATCTGGCCTGGAGCTCCGTGAGCTCATCCTGGGGCTCCTCACATTGCACGGCCCCGAGGTTCAGCTCAGCCCATGGGGTTGGCAAGAGGGTCCTCATTAGCCCACGACAGGGGACTACACTCACACCCTGTGTCCCAGCTAGTCCCCACGACAGGGGGCTACACTCACGCCCCTCTCCAAGACTGTGCCCCAGGGCTGCAGCCACATGGGCACCTGTGGACCCAGGGGGGCCTCAGCTCCTCCTTGGCAACAGGTCCCAGCAGAGTGGTGCAGGTGCAGCTCCACGTGCTCCTTCCTGCAGGCCATGGAGTCACAACACATCTGGCCTGGAGCTCCGTGAGCTCATCCTGGGGCTCCTCACATTGCACGGCCCCGAGGTTCAGCTCAGCCCATGGGGTTGGCAAGAGGGTCCTCATTAGCCCACGACAGGGGACTACACTCACACCCTGTGTCCCAGCTAGTCCCCACGACAGGGGGCTACACTCACACCACTCTCCAAGACTCTGCCCCAGGGCTGCAGCCATATGGGCACCTGTGGACCCAGCGGGGCCTCAGCTCCTCCTTGACAACAGGTCCCAGCAGAGTGGTGCAGGTGCCACCTCCACACATTTCACCTGCACCTGCCCAGGTCCCTCCCTGCCCTCCAGCCCTCCACTGGAAGGGGAGCAGAGCCCCAGCCACCCCCACTCACTCTGTCATCCCTGTCACTGCACTTGCACCCTTCCCACACTGTAACTGTGTGAGGGCGGAGGGAAGGGCAGCGCTCGTCTGCTGTCACTGTCACCATCGGGCAGGGCCACTGTCCCTGTGGCACTCACCTGCTCAGCCAGTTCCCAATCTGGGACGGGACACTGCCCCTAGCACTGTGCCGTTTGTGTTTGTGCAGGCTGTTTGGCAATTTGTTTTCCCAAATTTCCTCACTCTCCCTCATCTGCTCCATGGGGAGACTCGTGGGTGGGAGCTCAGCTGCAGCAGAGCTGAAAACCCCACGGGAGGAGCTGTGCCCTCCTTCATGGGAGCTGAGTGGGGCAGCTGCTCTGCAATGAAATCCCTGCTTCAGGAGACTCTGGATGTTGAAGGTTCACACAGCCCAAAGTCACTACACACAGCAGGAGTGATGTCCCCAGGAGCTGGGAATGCGGTGCCAGCTCTGACTTGGGGAGCACACAGGGGCCACCCTCAGAGCAGCTGGGAAAGCATCTGGGGCTCTACTACGGCCAGTTGTCTGCACAGCCCTGCAAGCTCTCCCCTCACTCCTCTGAGCACTCTCCTCTCCTGTGCCAGGCCCCTCCCTCGCCCGTCCAAGTGTTCCCTTCCATGCTCCGGGCACTCCCCTCCTCCCTCTGGGAGCTCTCCTTCCCCCTCCAGGTGCCCCCCTGCCCCCAGGGCTCTTCCCCAGTACCTGCGTTGCTGAAGACCCAGGTGGAGACATTGGCACCTGTGCTCATGATGTACTCCACGTCCAGGCTGGCCTCCAGCCCGGCTTTGCCATGGCCCTGATGTCCCACCACCCGGTCCACCTGCGTGCGGTGGGCAAAGCCGCTGCCAAAGAGCTGCATGAACTCAGCCAGGTCAGCTTGGTGGAAGTACTGCTCCAGAAACTGTGGGACACAGAGGGACAGGCTGTCTCCTTTCGAAAAAACAAGGTAACATTTTGATCCTGATGCAGAAAATTGCCCAGCACGGGTCTGTGCTACACCAGGCGCTCCCAGCAGCCACCAAGGGACACCCAGCTGCCCCAGGAGCCCCGGGCCAGCACCAATCCCTCGCACTGCCGCAGCACACGGGCCTCTGAGCGGGCCGTGGTTACCTGTGCACAGGCCTGGCTGTTGTTGGGCAGGAGCCCCACGTCCCCCCCCGTCATGTTGTATCTCTGGCGCAGGACGGCCGGGGTCACGCCCAGGTGGAACGACGCTCGTGCCAGCTGCGGGTCCTTCCTGGGCCTGGCTCTGCTGCCTGCCTTGCGCTCCGTGGGGAACCGGTGCATCCCACCCACTGCAGCAGAGCCCGGGGGACGGGAGAGGCTGTCAGGGCACAGAGCCCTGGCAAGGCAGGACAGAGCCCTTGGGCTCTCCATCACTGTCCCCACTTCCACATGGGCAGGCCAGCAGTAGGGCTTGGATTGCCCAGCCCTGCAGCCCTGGGCTGGGGAAGAGCCTCTTCAGCCTTCTGGGCTGAGCCAAGCCTCAGCCTGGCACCCCCTGCGCTTTTTGTGGGACGGTCACTGGATCCCACGGAACAGGGATCTGCCGGAGGGAGGTCTGCCCCCCAGAAGCAGCTGCACCTGCATTCCGCAGCCTCACCTCCCCCAGGTGGGACGTACCGAAGTCCAGGTGCTCGGCGAGCTCTGCAGGGACAGTGTAGGGCAGCGGGGACCGCACCAGGCTGCGCTGGCCCTGCACGTACCGGTGGAACTCGGCCCCGGGGAGCAGGCGCTCGGCCGTGCTGCAACACAGGGACAGCCGCTGTGGATGGACAGAGCTGGGACACAGGGACAGCCAGCACAGGATGGCACAGGGCTGGGACACAGGGACAGCCAGCACAGGATGGGACAGAGCTGGGACACAGGGACAGCCAGCACAGGATGGCACAGGGCTGGGACACAGGGACAGCCGCTGTGGATGGGACAGGGCTGGGACACAGGGACAGCCAGCACAGGATGGCACAGGGCTGGGACACAGGGACAGCCAGCACAGGATGGGACAGAGCTGGGACACAGGGACAGCCACCAAGGACAGGACAGGGCTGGGACACAGGGACAGCCACTGCCGAGTGGGACAGAGCTAGGACACAGGGACAGCCACCACAGGATGGGACAGTAGTGAGACACAGGGACAGCCACTGCCAAGCAGGACTGCACTAGGACACAGGGACAGCCACCACAGGATGGGACAGTAGTGAGACACAGGGACAGCCACCACAGGGCCAGCAGAGCCAGTTCCAGCCCCCAGAGCTCACCTTGCAGGCAGGTAACACTCCAGGAAGTCAAGGGTGGTGACACTCCGGCAGTCCTCTACACCGTGGTCTTGCAGCCACTTCAGAACTGTCATCAGTGTGGCCGGGGAAGGCTGGACCAAGTCCCTGAGCTGCTCCAGGGACAGGTACTGCCCTGGGAGGCGCAGAGGGTTAGATCCCCTCACAGGCCCCGGGGCTCCAGGGCCGGGGGGCTGCGGCCGTTACCGTATCGCGGGGACCGGGGGTCCGAGACGGCCTGGACCAGGCGGGCGAGCTGGGCAGCGCCGCGCTGCCGCAGGGCGAAGGTCAGCTGCACCGGCTGCCCGGCATCCACACGGCCGGCGTGGGCCCAGCCGGGGGGCACGCTGCGGGGCGGGCGGTGAGCGGGGCCGGCACCGGCACCGGCACCGGCACCCGGCCCACCCCCCGCCCCGGACCTACCGGAACGGCTGATCCCGCTCCAGCAGCAGCCCCGCGGCGCAGCTCCAGGCGGCCGCACACAGCGCCAGCACGGCGGGGATCCCCCGACACCTGCAAAGGGCTCAGGGGAGCACAGGCAATGGCACAGCCGTGGGGAACCGGGACCGACCGGGACCGAGCCCGAACCCGTCTGACTACGCCCTAGCCCGGGTCTGGGGAGCCCCGCCGGAGCTCCCCGAGTCCCAGCACCGGCGAGCCGGTCCGAACCTGTTACCCTGCCACCGGGAAGCCCCGCCCGACCCCCGCTCCCGTCCCCAGCGCCACCCGGGAGCCCCACGGACACCCTGAGCCTCCGTCACCCGGAGCCCCTGCGGTCCCCACGGCCGCCGGGGCCGGAAGGCGCCCCCGCCCCGCTGCCGCCCCCAGCGAGGGGTGTCCCGGTGCCCCCGGGGGGGGTGTCCCGGTGCCCCCGGGGGGTGCCCGCTCGGTGCCCGCTCGGTGCCCGCTCGGTGCCCGTTACCCCCGCGCCATGCCGCCGTGCCGCCCGGTCACGTGTGCTGCGGGCGCGTGACTCCCTCCACGTGGGGACACCAAAACAGCGGCCACGTGACCAGCGTCACGTGACGGGCGGAGCCGCGGCACCGGCACCGGCGGGGACTGGGGCGGGACCGGACCGGACCGGCACCGGCATTGGCACTGGCACCGGCATTGGCGCCGGCACCGGCGGGGACTGGGGCGGGACCGGACCGGCACCGGCACCGGCGGGGACTCGGGGCGGCGGGGCGGGACCGGCCGGTTCCGGCGGGGTCTCGGTGCTTGCCGGCCGCCCCGAGAGGCGGCTCACGCACGGCCCCGGCCGCCCCCGTTCTCTCCGCCCGTCTCCCGGCGGGAGCGCTCGGCCGGGGCGTTCCGAGGGTTCCGTGCCGGGCTCCCTGCGGGGCTGGCGGGCGCTCTGAGGCCGCGGGTCCGCTCGGGCCCCGGGCCGGGGCAGGGCTGCACGCGGGAGGGGCTGCGGGAGCAGCGCAGGAGATGCACAAAAGACAACAACCATTAGCGAACGTAACTCCAGGCACCGGCCCTCGAACAGGAGACCAAACGCTAAGAACTCCGACACTTGGGACCGATGAACAGTGAACCAATGAATTTCTATGTGTTTTGACTGTATAAAATAGCTGGAAAATCTTGTAAAATTCGTGTGTCATGGAATGATTTTCTCTGCACAACGCAGGACATGTGTGGATGAAACGATTTCTGTTGCACATCCTGGCCAGAACAAAATCCTGGCCAGAACAAAGTAATGCCTTGATTCTCTAACAGTAAAAACGTTGTTGGAGAGTTTTTTGGTTTTCCTGCAGTTTCGGTGACAAGCCCAGTCACAAGGCTCATCCCACGGCTCCAGCAGTTCCCAGCTGTTTTCCTGCTGCTGCAGAGCGGGGAGCAGGCCAGGAGGAGGCAGGCGATAGGAAAACCACCTGCCCGGCCGTGGTTCCAATCCCCCGCGCCGGAGCAGTGCCAGAGCGGCTGCTCCGGCTCCCCGCTCCAGCCCCGGCCTCCTCTGCCGGCCACCGAGAGAGGGGAGCGGCTGCGGGGGCTGCGAGCCCCGAGCCCGTTTGGGGATGGGCGCTAAGCGGGATGGGATTTGCAGGGATGCTGTCTGGGGCTGTGGGACAGCCGGGATTAGGGTGGCCGGGCAGAGCTAATCGCGTTAGGGAGCATCTGCTGCTGGGCCGGAGGCGGGAGGTCGGGGAGCCCCCGTGGGCCCGGCTCCCCTCGTGTGCAGCTCCCACAGGTGGGGGGAGCCGGTCCCTGCTGCGGGCAGTTGGGTGCTCCCGAGGCCGGGAGCACAGCGGGGCACAGTGGCACTGAGGGCAGCCAGCACGGCCACTGTGCCCCGGCAGGGAGCTGGAAGGGGTCGGGCTGGGCATGAAGGGCACAGGGAGCCCCAGGGACACCAGCAGGGAGGGGAGCCCCTTCCCCCTCTGCCCCGGCTGGCTTGTGCTTACCCCTGGAGTGCGAGGAGCCCTGTCAGAGCGGGGGACAGGAGTGCTGCCCTGGTCCCAGAGCGCTGCCTGCAGGGCTGGGCGTGCCTGGGGGGCTGTGCAGAACAGGCTGGGGCTGTGCAGGACTCGCTCTGGGCTGCTGGAATCTGAGAGCTGAGGACAGCGAGTAAACAGGTTGGTTTGGGGAACAACAAAAAAGAAAAGAAAGCAGGGAAGGCAGGATGGAAGTGGCTGGTCATATGTAGGTGGTTGATGGTCGCTGCGTGGGTCTGGCCACATCCAACACCTGACAGCTGCACTGCCACTCCTGGTTGTCCAGCTCTGTTTCCCGGGGTTGGGGGGCACTGTTTGGTGAGGGGAGCCCGTGTGGTGTCAGGTCACAGTCGGGAGATCAGCAAAGAGCCCTGGGCATGTCTGTGTCGCCCAACGGGATAAGCAGAGCCAAAGCTGCTGGGCAGACTGGTGGGAGCACTGGGATCCCCAGGGCAGGTCTGTGTGTGCTGGTGGCAGTGATGAGCTGTGGCTTGGGCAATTTGTGTGTGCAGGTGTCCTCAGTGGGGATCCTGGGAATGTGAGGTACCTGCTGGGCAGATGATGTGTCCAGGTGTGGCTGCTGCAGCTCTGGGGGCCTGCACAGCCCGGCCCGCAGCCCTCACCAGAGCGAGGGTATGGGATGGGACAGGGATGCCTGTGGCATGTGGGACCAGCTCTGTGCACATGTGGAGACATGGCTTCCACGTATACCCAGCCTCACTGCTGGACAGCCGCGGGGCCATGGCCCTGCTGCAGCTTCACTGCCCCTCAGGAAAAGGACTTGGCAGGACGCAGCCAAGGATGTGTGTGCCAGAGCCTGGCCAGGCCCACGTCAGCCCTGCGTGGGGCAGCTGCAGCATCCCCCCTCCCGTCAGTCCCTGGGAACACGGTGCCAGCCTGGCAGGAGCCCACGGCAGCAGGGATGGGGCAGTGTCTGTACAAACGTGTGGTTTATTAAGGCATTTTTGAGACGTTGGCACTTGGGTTCAGGCTGCATCGAGTGGCCCCTGCGCGGCCGTGGGCAGCGCTGGTACATGCAGCTCCACGAGACACAATACAAAAGGTACAAACGAGTAAAAACAGGAATTGTAGTACAATGTGTAAAAATAAATAACTGGGGGCTCAGTGACCCCAGCCCAAAGCAGGGTGCATGTGTCTGGCCCTTCCTGTGGCATGCAGTGACCCATCTGTGTCCCCATCCCAGATGTGCAGTGGAGCTGGGCTGTGTGGGAGCACAGGGCTGGGGGACACGGGGCACCCCAGCATGGGACTGGGGGGCACTGGGTAGCCCTAGAGTGCACCCACAGTCCTGGGGGGCAGAGGACACCCCCAGAGTGTCCCTACAGGGCCTGGGAACAACAATGTGTCCCCACAGTGCTTGTGAGCAGGACAGAGAGGGGATGGGGTGCCTACCCAAGAGCCTCTGTGGGCTGTCCCTGTGCCAAGGCAGAACTGTCTCCCCCTCCCAGGGCACCTCAGGCCCCTCTGGGTCCCAGGCAGAGTGGGCACGGCCCTTGCTGGGGCCCCCTTAGTGCCCCTGTCACTGTTGCAGATGCCTGTCCCCTGTCACTGCCCGGTGCCCAGGACAGCACCTGGGACCAGCAGCATGTGCCACGACCCCATGGCACCAGGGCGATGAGAGGCTGACTGTGACACACGGAGCTGCAGCCACAGATGGCTCTTCATGGGAAACGGGGGACGGGCAGAAGTGGTGCATTTGTCTGCTGTGACAACACCTTTGCAGCTGGGGCTGCAGCCACGCTGCACGTGTGCTGGGTCTGTGTGATGGGAAGGAGCTTGCCCGGCTCTGCTCAGGCATGGGGTGTCCCCCGACCCCCAGAGACCTGGGACCAGACTGGGCATTCAGGGCTGCTGTGGGGCACCCCATGCCGTTCCAGCCCTTGCCCTGCACCTGGGGCTGTGCGGGGATCACAGAGCCCTGGGCTGCACTCCCAGGGCCCGTGACGTGTGAGCAGCTCCCGGTGAGCAGCCGGGCTCAGGGAGAGCTCGGTGGGGTAAGTGTGCTGTGTGTGACGCTGCCTGTGTGACCAGCTGTGCACAGTGCTGGCAGGAGATGGGGACCGGCCCCATGGCAGGGGCTCCGTCCGGGCTCACAACGTGCATAACAGGGGTGCAGAGCAGCCCCGCACAGGGGCTGGGGCCAGGAGCAGAGCGTTCTGGCACCTTGACCGTGTTCTGGAGGTGGCCCAGACTGTTCTGGGAAGCAGTCATGCAACAGGGCCCCAGGGAAGGCCAGATGCCCAGTGTCCCCACAGTGGCTAAGTGAACATGTTGGGTGATGTGGCTTTTTGGGGCACCTCCTGCCACCTGTGCCCCTGCAGCTGCAGGCTGCCCGCTGGGCCTGAGGCGGGTGCGGGTCACAGCAGCCATCACCGCTCTGCTGAGGGCTGTCCCTGTCAGGTGCACACAGCTCTGCCAGCCCCACTCTGCTGCCTGCGCCTGGGCACTGTCCCTGCCTGGGACCCCTGCCCAGAGAGGCACCTGCTCCCAGGAACAGGATTCGCACACTGAGCATGGCAGGCGCCTCCCTCCCAAGACCACAGGAACCATCCTGAGGGTCTGGGCAGGAGATTCCCTGGATCTGTCACCTGCAGTGGGTAGCCAAAGGGGCTGGAGAGACCTCAAAGGCTCTCCTGTCCCTGCCCAGCCACAGAGAGGCAGCAAGATGTGGGCACTGCTGCCTTCTGCTGCAGCCAGCCCAGTGAGAACCGGGGAGCAGGTTCATTCCCACAGGCAGCGTCCGTGCCCCGGCGCATCGCGCCCTGCTCTGAGACATCACCCCCAGCCATGGGGCATCGCCCCCTGCCCTGGGAGCTCCTAGGGTCACAAGGGAAGGCTCGGGGTCCTCCTGCACCCAGGCTGCTGCATGGCCCCCGGAGCTGGGCAGGGCAGGCTCTGGGCCTCCAGCCGCCCTCAGCTCCCCGTCGCTCCCGGAGCACCAAGTACCGTGATCCTGCCCAGCACCAATCTGAGCCACCGCAAGCAGCACGTGGACCATCACCCCGGGGTGCCAGCACTGGGGTCAGCAGTCCACAGGGCACCAGCCAGCACAGGGTCTGCCAAGCTGTGGGGAGGGACAGGGGCCACAGCCCCCAGGGGCACCAGCAGTCCCAGGGCCCAGGCCAGGCACAGCGCTGGGAGCGGGATGAGCACCCATTTTAGCAGCCCCGGGCTGGGCCCCGCTCCAGCCCCATGGCTGTGGGCTGGGGCAGAGGAGTCCAGGGGCCCAGCTCTAAATCCTGAGCTCGGCCTCCTCAGGGGGCTCCAGCGAGTGCTCAGCACTGATGGTGGAGGTGGATGGCCCCTGTGAGATGCCGAAGGGCGAGACCACAGGGGAGCGGGCGGCCAGCGGGGACAGCGATGGGGAGAAGCTGGGCGACATGGCGGAGGACGAAATGGAACCCTCGTGGCTAATAGGCGAGCGGCGCAGGGAGGATGGGTGCGGGAAGGTCCTGCCTGGCGGCGGCTTGGGGGGCACCGACTTGGCACCTGGGTGGGCCACCGAGGTGATGAGGGGCGGGGGGTCGATGCGGG